TACTTGTTGAATTAGTCCTGCAGTACAAACTTCAAGCACCTTAAACATTAAAAATCTTATTACCGTATAATAGATAGATAAATATATGTATGTGGACAGATTTTTGTGGGAGGGCATATTGAATTCATTGTCACCAGCATTTTTGATATGAGCAGTATTTGTTACACAGTAACAATTCCTGCTTAGAACAGAATTTTATAATTTAAGGTGTCCAAGTTACATTCCTTTTGGTTTTAAAATGTAAATTTTTATTGGCTCTTCCCTTCAATGTCATATCTTGATGTTAAAATATAGAATGTATCTACATTAACATCATTAGATCAAGTCATTTCTTAAAATGCAGAAAAGACTGGAAGATAGGCCTTATCTAATCTTTTGATTTTGAGAATATCATAGTCCTTTTGATTTTTGAAGTTTATATGTGAAGTTCAGCTATATGTGGTGAATTTCACAAGTACTTGTTATATATATCTGCCTACATTTCTTTTCAACTCATAATTGGAAGACTTGTGAATAAATTAAGGGCCTGGTTAAAAATTCAGTTACTGCTGGGTTTAATGAAAAGTCAGAAGAAAATGCTATTTAAAGGAATATCACAAGAGTAGTAGCTCAAACTTTATCATACATAAATAAGTCAGTGGATTTTTTTGGATTTGGTCGTTTGATTCACCTCCCTCTTAGACATACATGTGTCCTAATTCTTAAATCTAAGAGACCATGCTTTGAAATAGACCTATAATTAAGGGTCACCACTTAATTTTACATTTGTATTCAATATTGGAAGTGAGGTTAATAAAGTCAAATAATGCTTTTTACCATATCTTATGCTTTTTGTTATTAAAAACTCCATTGACTACCAGTGGAGTTAGTCAATAAAATACTTGCTTGTCTGATTTTACATAGTAAGTGGCCACTAAATGTTGAGTAGTTAGTTCTTAACTAATTCTAAAAACAAAAATGTGCTTTTGAAGTTGCTAAGTAAAACTCTCACCTAGAAGTTAAAGATAACGTATTTGTAGAATTGAATTTCCCCATACAGCTTTCATGGAACAATTTTATTGATATTTTACCTTTTAATAATAATTGTGTTGCTACTTTATTTTAATGATTTATATATTCAAATGAATTTCCTGAAGGTTTTCCAACCCTGATACATGGAAGAAAAGTCAGAAAGTAAGCATTCTTCTTGGCATGAGAATTCTCTACACAGAGCTATATAGTTTTCTTTCCTGAGCCAATGCATTTCTGCTTTTGAGCAATAATCATATAATAAGCATAAAAAAGAATAATGTGTGGATAACAGAAGGCACAAGAGTATGTAATATCCTTAAACAAACAGTTATGGATTACAATAAAACAAGAAAATCTGTGTATTTTAGGTTTATATAGTAAACTCTTGGGGTGAGAGGAATATAAGCTGAGTTGTTCATGAATCCCAGATAGCATTATATGATATATTGTAAAGTATTACTGAAAGTTTTTAAGAATTTCCTATAAATTCTTACTGTGCCAGGGCAGAGGAGTAGAAAATAGCAAATCACTGTTGAGGTGTGGATTCCAGGAGGTCTACTAGGCACATTCCTTACGTAATTATTCCACATAGCAACCTTACTGTAGGATTCAAATCTATGGCCTAGCAAAACTGTTACTGGCTCTCACTTTCTTCCAGAGTTGCTCATGATGAGCTGAAACTGCAATTGGAAAATCCGAGAATAGCAAGGAAATATTACATTGCCCTCCTTTTTTTTTTTTTAAGTCAAGCTGACAGCTTTGCTTGTTTTTCTTTTTGCCAAATACCCAAGTACTGACAACCTCATTTTGTATTTCTTTTTGAGACCTTCAAGATTATAAGTTCTGGGCTGGCCCGTGGCTCACTCGGAAGAGTATGGTGCTGATAACACCAAGGCTACGGGTTCGGATCCCATATAGGGATGGACGGTGAGCTCACTGGGTGAGCGTGGTGCTGACAACACCAAGTCAAGTTTATTTAAAAAAAAAAAAAAAAGCTTATAAGCTCTCAGTATCCTTTGGCTCAGCCAAATATTTTACTGTCTTATTTTAAATCACTCTGTTGGATCTCCATCATCTCCTCTAATTTGATTTGAGATTTTGCTGAGACAAATCAGGCCTGTTCTGATGAGATGATCTTAAACACCGAGAGCACTGCTTTCTACTCTTTGATTTTTGCTGTGTTCTGTTGTCTTTACAGTATATAGTGCTAATTCTTGCAAGGAAAATGTGTAGGAGATACATGTCATTCTCGTATCCCAGTCAAGACAATATTAGTAACATTTTATTCTTGTTAATTTTTATTTATTTTTATTAACACTAATATATCGTTATATTAATACTTATTAACAGCTATTTATTAAATAATAATAAAGAAACAACCCTTTGTTTTTTCCATAATCTTCAGCTATGTTCATTTCCTTTCTATGTTTTACTTGCTCTGATATATGGACATACTGGGTTTCTGCTGTGTTATTTCAAATCCACAATCTTTAGAACCAACTGAGGTATATGCCTAAGCACTATATTTTGTCCATTTTAAAAATTTATTTTGTGTTCTTTGGGATAAAATACTTAACCTTTGCTCTGAAAAAATATTTTTCTGACATGTCTTTTTTGCCTTAAGATAGACCTGCTTATCCTGCCTTCTAGGGACAACTTTCTACTTGGTTGAAATGAAAAATTATAGGAGTCACTAACATGTTACCTACTAAAAGAGAGATGGTATATCTCTAAAGACTAGTTTAAATGGTGATTTGTTTAAAGATGGGACCAGTTGACCTTAAATACATCATCCTGAATATTACCCCAAAAATGATAATACAAAACAGAGTAATTTGGAGGAGAAGGAAAGAACTGGTTGGTATACAGTTCCTGGGAAGAAGAGGAAGCATGGGCAGTCAAGATAATAATGCATGTTTGGCCTAGGTTGTAGGTGGAGGCAGCACAGAAACTACCTGCCTCATGGACGAGCGTGCACCTGTGCCTTGTGCAAGTCTGAGAAGGGTATATTGTTCTTTGAAGGAAAACTTTTCATTTCTAAGCTACTGTGGAGAAGAATAAGATCCTCGAGAGCAGGGACTGTGACTTCTACATCTTTGATACCAACAGCATGTAATAAAAGGTTTCCGGTGTTCATAGTGAATAACAACATTAAATATATTTTTTTCTATTATACTTAGGATTTTCCTCTTTCTTCTGCACCACCAACCTCTATTTCAAATCTTCCTGTGCCCACAAAGCTTCCAAAGCCCATACATTGGTTAATCTAGAGCAGGAGTCAACAAACTGCCAGATTTGGCCTGCTGCCTGTTTTTATTAGCATTACTGCCTAACCAACTGAGCTAACTGGCCAACAGGTTTTTTTTGTATGGCCTACAAACTAAGTATGGTTTTTACTTTTTTTTTTTTTGTCTTTTTTCCCGTGTCCGGCAACGGATCGCAACCCTAAGGGGACCGGCAACGGGACCGCAACCCTCGGCGTTGCTCCTGCGCCTCGCTCAGCCAGTGAG